CACAATTTGAGTTGAATTACTGAAATAAATGAACTTTTCCATGACATTCTAATTTATTGAGATGCACCTGTACATGGGGCAGACAGGAGCACAGGAAACACCAGGGTAGACGTATAATCTCCGACAAACACAGATAGCACAGACTGGGGCTGATAAACACAGGGCAATCAGGGGAACACAGGTGCATGGAATGACTAATTAACAGGGAAGCGGAACACATGGGGAGGAAACTGGGTCACAGAGCACAACAAACCGTTCAGGGGCGTGACATTACTCCCCCCTCCCGGTAGGTGCGTCCTCGCACCGTAGAACAACAGAGGGGGGAATGGGTGGGAACTAAGGGGGAGGTTCCGGAGGAGGATGGACGCCCGGGAGGGGGCCGGCAGACAGAGTCCAGGGAGGAGACGATGGAGGAGGAATGGCCGCCGACTCTAGGGGGCCGACCAACGGTGTAGCCGTAGTTCACTGACAAGCTACGCAATTTTCTTATCAAGTATTATTAGCTTGTCAGTGAACTACGGCTCTGTGTATTAAATGCTGCTCCATTTGAAAGCAGGTGATGGAGATTTATGACTAATCACGGAACCGGCTTTACTGACGAGATGTGCATGACAATTGCATGCAATATATCGTGCAGCCCTAATCACTAGGCCTATTGCCGCTTGCCCACTTCAGACATTAGGCATAATGTGCTTTTTTTTTCTCTTCAAATTATAGCTAAATGGTTTTGCAATGATTAATTTTAAATCTAGATTGAAAATTGTTTATCTAATAATTCTGTTGCACCAAACTTTAAACCTTAAAAAATTATTGAAAATTGTTTATCTAATAATTCTGTTGCACCAAACTTTAAACCTTTAAAAATTTGCTTGTTTACATTTTAACCCATCATTTTGATCCTGGATTTAAAATTATAGCCCATTTAAGATTAATCCTGTTGCTCCATAACTTTAAACTTAGATTTAAATCTCGATTATTATGAATTAACTTTTAACTTAATGGAGGTTTAAATAAAATAAAAAGCACATGCAATTAAAATATGTAAAATCATAAAGTCTTTCCGAGTCACAGGGCTCAAGTCCAAGTCAAATTTTGAGTCATTGCTGTGAAAGTCTAAGTCGAGTCTCAAGTCTTCTTTAATTATGTCAAGTCGAGTCGCAAGTCATCAAATTTGGGACTCGAGTCCGAGTCAAGCCTCGAGTCATGTGACTTGAGTCCACACCCCTGGTTACTGCTATCATAAAAATACACTTATATGTAAGACTAAAATTCTACATTTGTCACATTAAATGTCCAACAACAAATATTTTAACAAAATATATATTTTACTCAAAATTATTGCGCTATTATTCGATTGCAGTCTGTCTATTTAGTGCACATGCGTGCAGCGGCGCTCGTTCACTCGTGCAAGCCTCGCCCACTCCTGACAGCAAAATGGATATATTTGCATGACTTTCTAACATTTACAGATGAAGAATATAACTGTGACATGTCCATTATGCACTGTGGAAAACATGTCTCAAATGCATTAAACAGCACAAATATATTCGCTGTTTGCCATGGTGGATCGATTGATCAATGATGGACATTAAAGGGCTGCTTAAGAATAAGCGTGAACATCAAATTATTGAACGTGGATCAAATTAGTGAGATTGTGTGAACCTTAATGGTCATTTATGAAACCGCTTTAGTCCCGATTGATTTGATAGGTTGTTTCAAGTCAGGTTTTGGACTTTAATCCCCGCTTTTCTTAGCGTCTTTTATGAAACAACCCCCAGATGATGTTTTGTTGTTCTGTCGCTGCTTGTTGCTGGTTAGAGCAGATTTATATAGAAGAGATCGACTTTATTGCTTGTTTTATTGGGTCATGTTTGATGAGGACACGGTCACGATTAAATGTGCTGGATCCAAAGAATAATTCAGATATGAGTTCATGATTTCAGACATTTGTTTTTTGTATGACTGAGTAAAGAAGATGACAGAGTGAAACTCTTCCCACACTGACTGCAGTGATACGGTTTCTCTCCAGTGTGGATCCTCTCATGTTTTTTCAGATATTCTGACCATTTGAATCTCTTGTCACAGTGTGAACACTTGAAAGGTTTTTCTCCAGTGTGGATCCTCTCATGTTTTTTCAGATAATCTGACCATCTGAATCTCTTGTCACAGTGAGAACACTTGAAAGGTTTTTCTCCAGTGTGAGTGCTCTGGTGCAGTTTCAGTTCAGCATCTCTAACAAAAGTCTTCCCACAATCAAAACACATATGCTCCTTCACACTGTTGTGTCTTTTCTGATGTAATTTTAAAGTACCCGACTGACTAAAACTCCTTCCACACAAAGAACACAAGTAAGGCTTCTCCTTTGTATGAACTTTTAGGTGGTCCTTCAGTGCATCTGACCTAAAAAAAGTTTTACCGCACTGATCACAGGTAAATGGTCTTTCTCCAGAATGACGACGCAGGTGTATTTTAAGAGTGCATGACTTTCTGAAACTCTTTCCACACTGATCACATGCGAACGGCTTCACTCCAGTGTGGATGGTCATGTGTTCCCTAAGGGCTGCTTTTTGTCTGAAACTCGTCCCACATTGATCACATGTGTGTGGTTTCACTCCAGTGTGGATTGTCATGTGTTCATTAAGAGATCTTTTACTTGTGAAACTATTCCCACATTGATCACATGTGTACGGCTTCTCTCCACTATGAGCTCTCGTGTGACTTTTAAGACTGTGTCTGTATGCAAAACTCTTCCCACACTGATCACATGCGTACAGCTTCTCTCCAGTGTGAACTCTCATGTGATCCTTAAGGGTTCCTTTCATTGTAAAACTCTTTCCGCACTGATCACATGAATACGGCTTCTCTCCAGTGTGGATTCTCATGTGATCCTTAAGGTATGATTTTATCGGAAAACTCTTTCCGCATTGATCACATGTGTGCAGATTTTCTCCAGTGTGGATTCTCATGTGTATTGCCAGGGTTCCTTTTACTGTGTAACTCTTCCCACACTGATGGCAGGTGAAAGACTTTTTGGCTCTTCCTTTCAATAAATTACTTTTAGTCTGTGAGCAACTCAAAGATTTCTCACTAGTTTTGACATGATGTTTCTCCTCTGCCTCACTCAGTTCTTCACTCTCCTCACTGTCTTCCATTAGGTCTAAAATTAAAGTAAGAAAGGGTTAGTAGCGAATTAGCTCAAAGGGCAAATATTAATAATCATAACTTGTGGTAATTATAATATTTGGATCAGAATTAGAACCAGAGAATTGAAATGCATTGTACACAAAGTTTTATGTACTAAATCACGAACACAGAACTAGTCTACACAAACACACACACACACACACACACACACACATGGGAAGTGAAGGTGGATGAACAGAACCATACAGAAGCAGGGGAAATTAAATCAAGTTAACGGTTTAAACGATACATCAGTTTCTAATTCACCTTGTTAATCAAGGGGTCCACAGTTTACACTAACCTAGTTAGCAAACTGTACGATACTTGCACTGCCTTTGCAGTTGAAGCAGTCTCATGGAGTCTCTGAAAAAGGTCTTGATAGTACCATTAAATGGGCTGAAACTACAATTACTTGAAGTTGCTGTGTCATTGGCCCTGTACCAAATAGCACTCTATACACTCGTGGTCTTCCTACGAGTCCGCACCTTTTCACTTTCGTGAAAAAATGCGGTATTGTTTGTCGAAAGGAAGTCTGCTGCGAAGCTCACACCAGTGCGGACTCAGGAAAAGCGTGCATTGAGGGCACATATCGACTGCAAAGGGGGTGCTCGTGAGCACCCTTCTAAAAAACAAATGGGACACCCTACAGTCTTGTGGACTTGATGGAATCACACATGCGGCGACCATTGTAAGTCCACAAGACCATAAGTGCATATCAAGTGTGTCATTTTGGACAGGGACATTTTTTATTTATTTGTTGACTTATTTACTTTTTCAGCATCATTACAGGTACCCAAGGACATTCATCATTAAGGAACACTGAATTATTTTGCTGTTACAATAAAATGCCAATACTAATTTACTCCACATTAACAATTTCCAACCTTTTAACTTGATCAGTTGTCAACAAACAGGAAATGCATACTCTAACACAGGCCGCATATCCCCTGTATAGATGATAACCAATTCTTGATCTCAAACACCAAATTTTTTTAGCTGGCGGAGAGCTTTCTGTTGGCTGTGGACAACACTTGACAATCCCAATTCAAATCATTCTGGATGGTAAGCCCTAAAACTTTAACAGGGACACATATTTTCAATGTGTTCTCATCTGTAGAAAGTGATGGCTCTGTTTCATGTGGGAAACATGTAAGACATTGCATTATTTTGAGTTGAGTTTCATTTTATGTTTCTCTTCCCAGATGCCAAGATCATTCAACATCTGCTGGAGAGTACAGGGCTGATGAGAAGTCCACCTCTGGGCCATGGTCATGTCGTCCACATATTTCCAGTGGTTTATTTGATCCAGGAGAGCATTGTTAATCAGTGCCTTGAAATATTAGAAACACTTGACTCTCTTTGTGGTTGAGAGGGTCCTCTTTCCAGAGTGAGCACATGGATGTAAGTTGGGGCCTGCAATCCATAGACAAAGGTGAAGAGACTGCCGTGAGCGAAGAGAGGGGAGAACTTGTGTGGATGCTCTATAAAGTCTGGGAAAAGTCAGACCTCTCACGGTTGGTTTGATCAATGAGAAAGTTGTAATTTCCAAGCTGGAAAATTCTTCTGTTTGGAGGTTTCATGGCCGTTTGTCTGCAAGCATGGTTAGAATGTTTCTGGTAGTCTGTGTCTATCTATACTCTGATTAATATAACAAACACATGCTGCATTCTATGAGGAGGTGATGTACACCAAAGTGTGAGTCATTAAATGAGCATTTATTCAATAGGAGACACAATAATGTAGGGTAACGCTGAGTAGTACTATCATAAAACAGTATACAATACAACAGACAATGGAGAGAAGTCCTTTATGTCACGGCCTTTATGTGTCTGTCCTATGTACTGATTAAAAGTGAGTTTAGAGCAAAAGCTCTGCATTCCTGGTTGTAAATCGTTCCTGCCTGGGAGTTAGCTGTAGGTGGGGATCACTACTTACAACCTTACACACAGTTTGTTGGGAAAGGGGTTTGAAAGATTATTTGTTAAAGTCTGTGTAAAGTCAATTCTGAGAATTGTTTTTAACCACATTATAAAATGTTAGAAATGCATTGCTGAAACATATTACAAAGACTGTGAACTATGTAGTACTTAATTGTGCAGTTGGACCGTTAAACAGTTTTTCACCATTTTCGTGTTTAGGATTTTTTGGGCAGGGCCAAAATCATGACTTGATGACGAAGTGGAGTCACTGAGCATGGCCCCTCCTCTAACACTATAAGAGGTGTGTTCAACTTGAAGCAGCGCTGCGCGGCCATAGACCAATCGGTGTGTCACATCAAGTACAGTGAGTGCTGTAAAGAGCAGATGGCTCCGCTTTCAAATTGCTCTTGCAGTACTGTGGCTGTCATACACTGATCGTTCTGCGCAGCGCTGCTTCAAGTCGAACACATCTAATAACTAGTGCGCATTAGCATCAGTGGTTAGCCCGCTCAATCGCGAGTTACTGTCATTACCTTTAGTTAGTACAGCCTACAGTTTGCTAGCTAACTATGCCATCGTCATGTAAATGAATAATACCTGGTTGCGATAATTCACAAAACAGCTCGGTCTCATTATTTAAATTAAGCTGCTAGAGGAAGACAGTTGAAAGAGATGGCAGCTTTTCCGCGAGTGGGTGTGGTTTCAGCCCCGCCAGTGGACACGCCCCCAGCATTTGAGAGCAGAGAATATTGCTTATTTTTTCCAAGATTTTGATACCTTATTTTATTCGTTTGCCTTTTTTTACCATTAAAATTTGGCTGGGTGGTTAACACATTTTTCTTTGGTGTGACAAGACTCAGAACACACATTAATATTGCTTTACGTGGACTCTAAATATAACAAATAATTGTGTGTCTGACTGGTTTGTTTGTTACAATTAATTATTAGTAATGCATAAAAATAAGAGAAATGTGAAGGGAAAGACATAAAAGTAAACCGTGATGTAATATTAGAAAGACTACAATTGCTATAAAGTGATTACTTTGATGCATGTTTATAAGAGATTGTCTTATAATAATTGCCTTTAGCAATTTTATAAATTTTTTCTAATATATTTAAGCATTTTTCTTAATCTGACATCCATCCATTTCCAGATTTCTCGTCCTTATGTAGGGTCATAGTGAGAGTTCACAGATTACAGTGTTCACAGGTAGGGTTTACAACTACAAAAAAATAGATACCATTACCGTGCGTTCACACCGCCGGCGGCGAGAGCGTCAAAATTCACTCTGGCCACCATGACAACAATGCTGTACAGTCGTGGCCAAAAGTTTTGGCAGTGACATAAATTTTGTGTTTTGCAAAGTTTGCGCGCTTTCACATGGAGCAGCATTTATTAACCAGAGCCGTTGTTCACTGACAAGCTGCGCAAAACATGCGCAAAATATGATCGTTGTTTTGCGCAGCTTGTCAGTGAACAACGGCTCTGTGTAGTAAATGCTGCTCCATGTGAAAGCGCACAGGTGATGGAGATTTAACACTGATTACAGAACCGGCTTTACTGACAAGATGCGCATTAAATATCGAATGCGATTTATCGTGCAGCCCTAATATGCATTATACAGAAGCAAGATGAAAAGAAAAAATACCATCTAAACTTTTCTAAAGACAGACAT